GTTCCCAGATGTCTTGCTATTACAGTCCTCTCCCAGGCTCCTCTCCCCAGGGAGCAGCAACTGCCTCTATCTAGTCCTGCAACCAGCCTTCCGGCCCTCCCTGTCCTCACCTCACACTCCAGTCCACCCTCCAGTCCTGTGGATAGAACGTCCCGAGGGAATCCAGCCTGTTGTCGTCTCCCAGGCCTCCTCGTCACCATCATCACTCACTTGTTAGAACCTGTGCAGTAGCCTTCTAGCTGCTCTCCCTTCTGCCTCTCTGCGGCCAGAGTTACTTTCTAAAGACAGAGTGGCTGGGCCACTTCCCTGCAGTGACAGTCGTAGTTGTGGCCCCAAAGTCCTCTCATCTGGCTAGCAACTTTCTCTGTAACCTTGGCCTGTTCCCCCTGCTGGCTCACCCCCGCACCCAGGCAGTTTGCACATTTTGCAGCTCTTCTAAGGTACAGTACTCTCTGTTACCCCAGGGTCTTTGCACCTGCTCCTGCCACCACCTGGAAAGCTGTCTCCTCCTTTCCCTCTGTGGCTTGTTGCTTCCTTTTCACCCTTCAGACCTCAGCTCAAAGGGCAGCTGCCCCTAGAGTCCTCAAGGGCAGACTCCCCTGTGGCTTCTCCCTTGGAACTGAGGCTTTCATGGCATTCACTGCGGGCCACCTTGATGCATTAGTTTTGTGACTGTGGGACTGATGTCAGCCAGTGAGCTCCATATTTTCTGTCATAGCACAGGCCCTTCTGTGGGGGTGGGGGTGGGCGGGGCTCAGAAACCCCTACTTAGTACCTGAACCAGTGATGGTGATCTTGGGTAAAGTCATGTGACTCGATGTGGACTGTCCTTATTTGTCAAGTTGGGATGCTGAGGTCGGCTTCGTGGAGTTGATGAGGACTGGGTGGAACTACACCCTAGCTGCAGAGGTCTGGGTGTAACTAGGGGGGCTGCACTCCAAGGCCCTCCAGATGCACACCCACCCTCCCAGCCGCCCCTCCAAGCACAGGCCTCAGAGTTCCTGAGACCACGTGGGGTGGCCAGTCATCGGAGGGCTCTGCCCACCACCCCCATCAAGAGGGTTCCCCAAAGGTGGCAGGGACGGGGCTCCATGGCATAGTTCTGGGGACCTTCCAGCCCTTCCCTGTTCAGAGAGGTCGGCAGGTCGGCAGGCTCTCCAACAGGGGCTTCAGATGAGGGCTTCCTTCAGCTGGAAGAACCTGGGGCGCCTTATTCTCCTTGTCCCAGCAGTACAGGCACATTCTGCAAACACTTACATAAATATAATGTATGTCATGAAAAGGAGAAAGCACTCTCTGGGGAGACAGGATGTCTTTTAATCCTCCATTTTGATTCTTTGTCTTTCTGTCTCCCGCTGGTGGTCTCAGCTTAGGGTCAGTTCAAGAGCTGAGCCCAATAAGAGCAATTTAGAATCAAACACACAGGGCCAGCTGCGTTAGGGTTGTGATGAAGCTGTTTGGTGTGGGCTCTGCATTTCATGACTGGAGTTGAGAGTGTCTGCCTGTGAGACTGAACCCAACCCCACTGGCCACGCTCTCTGCTTCTGGGTTTTTTTTCCCGGAAGAAAGTGTGCGAGGGGGCGTGGGTCTGGCTGGCAGGCAGGGTGCTGGAGGCACCCATGCACCTACTGTCTCCTATTTGAATAAAGAGAGAAGCAGGAGTGACCAGAGCCCCCAGTGGCGGTGGTGGCCGTCAGTCAGAGTGTTAACAAAGGCCTGAATCCTTCCTTGGCCTCTCTCCAGGGAGCAGATGTCCATGGGTGCGGGTGGGTCCCCACTGCCGAGAATGGAGCACCCTTCACACGGGCGCCCACAGGTGGGGTCCAGGTTTGGTGAGGCTCCCTCCAGGGGGAGATGGGGCCAGTCTTGAATCCATCTGCTCAAGGATGTGAATTGAAACAGGACCATGAACCTCAAGAGAGGTCCGGTGAGCTGACCAAGGTTCTGGCCAGAGGCGAGTTCAGAGATGCAGCCTCGGAAGGTGGGATTTGATTCAGAAGGGAAGGCCTCTCCACCACCCCAGGGATGGGGGCTCAGGGGGTGCCATGCAGCCCTCACCCCTCACCCCACCCCACCCCACCCCAACAGATAGGACATGAGGACACTTTCCGAGGACCAGGTCCTGGGTACTGGCTGAGGGTGTGGGGCTGAAGGTTACTCCAAGACTTCCTGCAGAGGAAAGTGACGCCATCTACTGGTCAGTAGTGGTCACTGCAGGGAGGCGAGTGAAGGCGAATGACAGACCCTGGAATCCATACTCCCTGGAGAGAACTAGGCCCGGAAGGGAAGTTCGCTCAGTCAGAAGACCAAGGGGCAGGGTGGAGGGTGCTGCCTTGTGATTGACATCAGTTTCCTCTGTTGGGGATCGCTTCTGCCTCCCCCAGCTGATGACAGGCCCCAATATACCCATATGTAGACCATGGCTGCTGATGGGTGGACAAGGAGGGGTTCCTCCCCACGGTGTGTGTGTGTGTGTGTGTGTGCATGTGTGTGCACGCATGTGTGTATCTGTGCATGCATGCATGTGTGTGCATGCATGCATGTGTGTGCACGTGTGTATGCCTGTGTGTGAGTGTGTTTGTGTGAGTACGTGTGCATATGCATATGTGCATGTGTGTGCATGCATTGTATGTATGTGCGTGCACACGTACGCATGTGTGTGTGTGCGCTACAGTAAGTCCTCACTTAATGCTGACCATAGGTTCTGCAACTTTTAAGTGAAATGACATATAACGAACCCAGTTTTCCCACCGGCTGATGGGTATAAACAATTTAGGCTCCTCTGGCATCTCATCAATGTTCTAACGAAATGATGTTGAATAAAAGGATGTTATTCGAGGACCCACTGGACAGATTCTGGACCCACTCTGGCTTCACTGACGCTGAATCTCTGGGGCATCTGAGACTGTCGGGGCTCGCCAGGCTCTGCAGGGACTCTGGGCACAGCGGGGCTGCTCAGGGTCCCCCCACCCCTTCTCTCCTCCAATGACTTCAGCTTCAGGGGTTTTAAGTCACCTGCCATCTCCCACAGCCCTGTCGGGCACGGGGTTTAAAAGAGGTTCATACCAGTTTGTACCTGCTGCTGGAGGTTCTGGGTGTAGACAACGGTGCAGGCCACCATCTGGGATGTGGCTGACATGCGTTCTGGTCCTTGCTGTCACTTAATGTCAGTGTCACCATGGCGTCCCTTTGCCCTCCAAGCCTTAGAGCCCTGTCATGCCTGCTCACGGGGCTCAGCGAGCACATGAACTGCCTTTGGGCACTGCCACCTGTCACTGCTGTGGCCTCACTCACCTGGCACCTGAGGCCCTGCCTTGTCATATGCCATGACTTGTCTTTTGAGCTAGATGCAAGTAAAAGCGAAGAATTCACCAATTAATGTCTTGCATTTTATATGCTTCCAGCCTTGATGAAACTCATACACTATTCATCTTATCTTTGTAAAAACTCTGTTGAGCTACAAATCAGGAATCCTCCCCACCCCCATTTAGCTGGTGAGGAAATTGAGGTCCAAAAATTAAATGACCCCCCCCCTCCCCAAGGGCACCAGCCCTGTCCGGCAGGGCTGATAGTCCAGCCCGTCTCATGCTGGGTCTCTGGAGCCCACTGTGACCCTGGAGGGCTGTCCCTGCCTCCCTTCAGACATCGGGGGTGCTGCTGGGGGAGGCTGTCAGGGTCAGCAGGGAGAAAGGGAGGGGTTCCCCAGGGCATTGCCATCAGGAGGCAGCTGACCTTGGGCAGGGACCTGCCAGGGCCCATTATCCCAACATGAGGTGCCTTTCCACTCCACAATACTTGGCCTTGATCCTAAGACGGGATAGAACTGGTGTTAGTGCATCAGCTGCAGCTCTGGTGTAAAGGAGACATAGCTGCCATGTGGCACCGGTGACTCCCCAGCGCCTGGGGATGCTCTGCCGCACACAGTTTCTGGCTTGGCCTGTTCTGCGCTTTTGCTAAGGGTCCGCAGAGCCAAGGTTTGAGCAGGTGAAACCCAGGCTCCGTCCAGGCAGCCCTGGCTCTGTCTGTGCGCCATTTCTCCTGTGGTTCAAGGAGGACTGAGTTACAGACAGGGCTTCAAAAGAGTTACCCTGAATCCAGTGTCGGCCTGGTGTCAGGTGACAGTCATTCACTGAGCTCACGTGCCTGTGCAGCCCGGGGTGGGGAAGCCCCCAATACTGTAGATAAAGCTTTCCTTAATTACATCTCATCTCCGGCTGTTTTTGTGCTACAAATCAGAGATGACGAGGTGCCCAGAGACCGCAAAGCTTGAGACATGTCCCGTCTGGCCCCTTACAGGAAAAGCTCACTGACCCCTCACCGCCTGTCCAGTAGGGAGCCACTGGCCAAATGTGACTATTTATATGCATAAAATGTTAAAAGTCATTTCTTTAGTTGTACTCGCCACAGTTTGGGTGCTCACAGCCACACGTGGCTAGTGGTCCCTGTATTGGGTAACACAAAGATAGAACATTCCAGATTGTGGTAGAAAGTTCTGGGGACAGCCCTGATGTAGACGCAGCAGGTGGAAGTAGGACCATGTTAGCTGTGGACCCAGGGTGTAGTGGATGGGGGGTTCCAAACAGGTCTCCCGCGAGGGCTGCAGGTGAGCAGGAGCCCCACGGCACAGAGCGCGGGTGAGGCCAAGAAGAATTGGGGGGCAGTAGGCAGTTTCCGTCACTGTCCCGAGTTCCAACGGGCTCGCCAACGCTGCCATGTTTGGGAAAGGGAAGCTTCTGGAACTGTGGCATGCGGCTGTCACTTTGGAGGTCGAGCTGCCTCTAGGGACAGCTGCCTGGGGTCCCAGAATTGCCCTCCTGACAGTTTGTGCGGCGTTTTCTGGCCTGAGTATTGATTTTGTGCAGCTGCGTGCACTGTGCACTGAGGGGTGATGGAGGAAATGGGATGGCCCCCCCGCCGGCTGCCACCTTCCCCTTCATCTGCGGTCCCTGCTGCCTTGTTCCTTTGCCCTCTGGGGAGACGCTGACTGGGCCCCTCTTCAGTTCCAGGGCCCTGCGAGCCGGAGGACCTCATCGATGGGATCATCTTCGCTGCCAACTACCTGGGGTCCACCCAGCTGCTCTCAGAACGGAACCCTTCCAAGAACATCAGGATGATGCAAGCGCAGGAGGCCGTCAGCCGGGTCAAGGTAGGGGAGTGCTCAGGAGGGGCGCTCAGCAGGGGTGCAGGGGGCAGGGCACAGGCGCCCACCAGCTCTGACCCCACAGCCATTGGCAGGGACAGCGGGAATGCCTGTGGCCCTGGCAAGGCCGAGGGAGACTTTGGGCTTAGGTGCTGGGGCCACAGGGGTAGCCACTGGAAGCGCCACTGGGACACCTGGAAACACGGCTTTGGAGAGATGCCAGTAGGGTTAGCACAGAACCTCATATCCAGCCCCACAGCATGTGGGCTCAGCGCCACGCGGAGCCCTTGCAGGAGGGGAGACAGAGTCACGTTCTATTTAAGTTCATGACTCAAGGAAAACTCGGCCACACTTGCCGCCCTGGGTGCAGGTCGCATCACTTGGTTTTGAACGGCGGTGCGGCTGGACAAGAAGAGGAGGCCAAGTCCACAAGCTGCGGGGTCTGGAGGGAGGCTGGGTGGTCTGAGTGCTGATCCCCGGGCGATGTGGGGCCTGTGGGTGCTGATGGCCTGCGGGAGGAGTGACAGTGCCAGCCACCTCCCCTGTCCTCGCTGAACACTGAGGGAGGGGAGGCCAGGCGTGAGCCCGCCGTGGTGGTCAGAAGAGAAGGAACCACGGGTCCTGCCTGCTGGTGCCACTGAGTGGAGGCCCCAGGCCCTGCCGCCCAAGGCCCCAGTCTGCTGCTCTGCCTGGGAGCCTGGCGCCCTTCTGCCGGCCGACTGCATCTCCCCCCGTCCTCAGCCTCACCCTCGTAGATCCGGGTGGGTGTCAGGAATTTCCAGCACTCGGGGGACACGAGTGGCCCGCTGAGGTGGTGGCTGCGCACCTGTCCCCTGGGCACGAGGTCGCAGTCCTGGGGTGTGGACCACAGACCGAAATAACTGCCACTCTCTCCCTCCCTGGGCACCCGTCCACCTGCTTGTCTTTTCTCTTACACGCTGCTCAGAGGATGCAAAAGGCTGCCAAAGGCAAGAAAAAAGCGGTGTGTAATGAAGGCCTGTGGCGTTCGCGTGCATTTCTGTGGCTCATCCTGTACGTGGCAGGGGCGGGGCCATTCCACGGGGGACACACATAAAGTGACAAATGGTGTTTCCTCTTCCCTTGGTGGGTAAATAAATGCTAGACTTCCGAAGGAAACCACAGTCACTTCTCTTTTTTGAACCACCGTTTTACAGAAGAATTGAATCATTGCCCTTTTTTGCATTTCCGTTTTAGAGCCTGTGCTAGAACCTGGTCAGTGCTGGGATGCTGCTGTTTTACGGAGATGTTTTTAAATATGACATTTGATAGGACCATGTGATACATTCAGCACCCAGGCCGCCTGTCGAGAATTAATTAAATTGTTCTGATATTTAAAGACTCGTTAAGGTTAATTTACTAAACCTGGTTGATGAGACGCTCAGTGTATCCATGAGGCTCTTTCTCTATTAAAAAGTTCCTGGAGCATGGGCGGACTTCCAAAAATGGGGTTGACCCTCCGTCCTTTGTAAACCTGGTCCTTTAGTAAATGCTGGCACTTTCTAACCACCCACCTGACACAGGAAATACCAAATGCCCGATGCTGGGAGGTACCATCTTGCACTGGCTTGTAGCCAGAGTAACAAGAGGTCTAGTCCTCTGTCCCCGCCTGGGACGCCATTTTCTGGGGATGTGGCCAGAGGACCCTGTCTGGGGCTCCCTTCCCCCTGTAGTGACACTTCTTTCCCTGTGACATTTGCTCCTGGCCCTCTCTTTTGATTCCTTCAGACCTGCAATTGGGGTGTACCTCTCCCAAAGAAGAGTGGCCCTCGCCTGCAGTCGCCCAGCGTACCCCTGGGCCGCCCAAGCACCAGGCAGCTCAAGCAGGGCTGTCACTTTGGACCGCAGCCAGAATAGACGCAGCTTAGAACAGCCTCAGCGGCTGGCCAAGGCCAGCCAGTGACCCCCATGAAGGACTGGGGTTCCTTCCAGGCAGCGAGATGCTCAAGATCATTGCCGGGGCCCTTTTCTGGTCTGCCCACAGCTGGCCAGGCTGCACCGTGAGCCTGGGACCCAGGAGTGACCAGAATCCCCAGCAGAGAGCCACCCACCCACAGACTCACTGGTGACCATAGGGTCAGGGCCCCCGTCCACAGATGCATCCACCCCAGTGTCTGGTGTCCCTCTGCATCGATGCTCCCCCTTTTCTCCCAGCAGAGAGCATGATGGGGCAACCTTTCCCATTCCCGGTTATTAACAAGGTTTCAGCGTCATCCATATGCTCCCCAGCCTGAGCTGTCGCCTCCCAGTTTGCCCTCTCCTCCAATGGGGTGGATCACAGCACTCGCATTTCCTCCAAAATCGTCATGAAAACTGAAAACCACGGTCCACCTGCAACTTTTCTGTTTTACTTCTGTCCCGACCTACTTTTTAGCAAGAGGGTTTTGAGCGACAATCCTAGAATATAACCTTTAAAGGCGTCTGGATGTAGAATATAACCCCATTTTTAAAAACAGGGGAAAGTATTTCTTCCGCAGTCCTGCAGACTATTTTCAGCTGGAATATTTTGGACTCTGTTCTCTCTGTAATCAGTTAAAAGCAGTTGTTACCACCATGGGCCGAAAGCCCCAAAGATCTTTCCCTTGAAAACTGAGCAAAGATGTGGATTTATCATCGGGGCTTAAGGAATTATTGCAGAATTGTCAACAGGGGCATTTTTTATTTCAGATTTTCTAATGAGGAATTATTAAATCAGTTTCTGCTCTTTTGAAATGGAAGATATAGCACCGTGAGCTCCCGAGTGGCCACCAAAAATTACTTACCTCCATGGGGAAACCAGAAGTTGTGTTTCATTGTCACTGCGCAGTAGCAATTAGTATTCCCTCAGATGTGAGACCCAGTGAAAGGCTGTCCTGGTATGGGGCAGACCCTGAGGAGTTCACTCAGAGCATTCCAGAACATTCCATGCAGACATGACTAACGACCATAGGATGGGCATACTCCAGGAGGTGACAAAACAGTGGCATTTGTGTGACGGCTTCTTCCAGCCTCTCCTAGGTCACTGTGAGGGCAACACTCAGTCCATCCTGGGTCTTGCTTCCCTCACGGTTTTTGGAAGATGGGGACCAAGCCTGCTGAGGGGTTGACTGTTTAAAAAATAAGAAAAGGCTGACGTTCGAATCCAACTTCTTTGAAACTTTCTTCCCCATTTCCTGGGGGTGCTTAGAGTCCCAAATCTAGGAAATACAGCCCAGGGACACAGGCCCTGTTCTGCCGCCGAATTTGATGAGGGTTGGCAGGCAGGTAGGTCTGCTTTTTAGGGAGTGGAGGGACCGTTCTTTGGATGCTGCGGCACAAAACCCCAGGCACGGGGCCCTCCCTCTGTGCTCTGTCTCCCAGAAGCCGTTGCCTCCCTCCTTTTCTGCAAACTGCCTTCAGAACTCATTTCGCTGCAGATTGCACAGTGGAAGGCACATACATTTAGGTTTCCGATGGCTGCTCCGTGCCGGAGTCGCATGTCCCTCTAGGGGTACTCAGGGCCACTAGTAGTATTGTCAGGCCTTTGTTCGAGTTCATTAGTTTGATTTGTAACAGTATCCGCTGTCCTTCCGTAGAATGCTGAGGGGGATGCCCAGACCCTGACCGAAGTGGACCTCTTCATCTCCACTCAGAGGATCAAGGTGCTAAATGCGGACACACAGGTGAGCCCTTGAAGATGGTTGTTTAAACTCATGTGGACGAACTCCTAACTTCCCACTGGGGGGACCATGAGAGTGGGCACCATGGAGTCTTGTGGGCCAGCAGGCGTGAGGAGAGCCAGTGCTGGGGAGTTGAGTCAGCAGGTGCTGTGAGCTGTGGTCTGGCTGCCCACTCAGGGGTTCAGGTAACCCATGGGGTCATGGGCAGCTGTCAGCCTGTGCGCTCGCTCTGAGGCACTGTTTAGGGTGACCTAGAAGAGACAGTTGTGACAGGAAACTGGTTTAATTGAAAAGTGAAACATGTTGGCTGACGGGCTGGAGAGGGGGAGACAGATGAGGGAGACTGGAGGCTGAAGTGACCGGTCAGGACAGGACAGAGGCCGGCGGCCACGTGCGTGGGTGGCCTCCTTCTGTGAGGAAGACGGCCCTGCCCATGACCTGAGCTGAGAACAAGGGCAGATACCCATTTCTGACACCTGGGGGTTGATGTGGGCATTTCTGACGGGGCCAGAAATCAGGAGCTACTGAAGAGCCCCCCCAGCTCTTACCCTTTCAGTGTCCCTTCCTGGAAGGTGGCCTTTGTGGTTCTAAACTGCCTCCACATCCTTGGCCAGAAAACAAATCCGCTCCAGGAAGACAAATGTGGAGAACTATCCCCTACAAAATTGGATTCTGTGAGGAAGGAAAGGGCTTCGGGGGTTGCAGAAACACCCGGTTTTCTTTTGTGGGAAGAGGACAAAGACATAAAAGACCAACTGATTGGTTTCTCAGAGCCTTTGTACTCACCAAGAGTAATGGCCCGGCCTTGTTAGGTGGGGTGATGGGCAGGACGCTCGCTGAATTCCTGTTAGACAACAAAAGCCACCAAGAGTAACAGACCGGCCCAGGGAACTGAATGGCTGTGGACACCCATTGATGGGAGTCAGGCCAGCCGACTCAGTGTCCCCTGACCTCTGCCGGGCCGCTTGGGCTCCCTGGAAGAACTCATTCATGGCAGACATTGGCCTCGAAGCCTTTATCCTCTGCACAGCAGGAAGTCTGGGCCAGGCACATGCCTGGCAGGGAGGGGATCCTCTCCAGAGCCATGGGTGGGCTGTGACCGGGAGGGTGGCCTGTGACCGGGAGGGTGACCTGTGGTCGGGAGGGTGGCCTGTGACCGGGAGGGATGGGCTTCACCGCGTGGCAGGGTCCTGCTCTCCCTCCCAGTGCTGAGAGCTCCACCCGGCATCGTGCCTCCGACGTGTCATTTGGAAGCTGTGGGCTACAGGACAAAAGAGTCACCTGGATGGTGAATTGCCACCTTAGAGCGCTCTGTTAACTGGAGTGGTGGTTCTCAACCCGGGCCGGTTTTGTCCCTTAGGGGACATTTGGCAAGGGCAGGAGGTATTTTTGGTCTTCGCAGCTGGGGAAGGTGGTGGGTGCTGCTGGCTTCTGGGGGGCGGAGGCCAGGGGAGCTGCTGAGGGCCCTGCAGGGCACAGGGCAGCCCCAGATGTCAGTGGTGCCGAGGTTGAGAAACCCTAATGGCTTGTCCCCCTAACATCCCCTCATGTGGACCTCTCGTCCCCGCCCGACAGGAAACCATGATGGACCACGCCTTGCGCACCATTTCCTACATCGCGGACATTGGCAACATTGTGGTGCTGATGGCCCGGCGGCGCATGCCCCGCTCGGCCTCCCAGGATTGCATCGAGACCACGCCCGGGGCGCAGGAGGGCAGGAAGCAATACAAGATGACCTGCCACGTGTTCGAGTCCGAGGACGTACGTGCGTGCGTGCGTGCCGACCCCTGGGGCTCCGGGAAGCCACATATCAGGGGACAATCCTGGTCGCCGCCCTTGACCTTGCCAGGGAACCCGTGCTTTTCTAATGCTGAGTTGGCAGAGAGAGGGTGAACAGCGTTTAGCTGTACTTCCTGCGGTTTTCAGGAGCCGCTTCTACACTGAACCGTAGTTGATGATACTAGGGGAGCTGCCAACTGGGACAAGCTCTTTATCAGAGCTTTGCTCTCTGACGACAGAGTCCTCCTGGACCAGCTCTTCCATTCGCGGGATGCACGTCGTCACCTGCCAGGGTTGCGCAGAGGGAGGTGCAGCGGCACCAGAGGTCTAGCTCTGCTTCCCTCACGGCCGCGTCAGGCCCTAACGAGTTAAACAATAGTTCTGACATTTAAAATTCGGGAGGCTCGCTAAGGGACCGTCAACCCTTGGGCTCCCCTTGAATGGGATGAGAGCATCTTTCTGAGCCTGGAAGGGGCAGAAAGGGACCAACCAGAGAAGGGAGTGCAGGGGACGCTGGGCCCGGGGCTTTCGGCTGCCCGCTGCGGGCAGATCTTACCCAGGACAGTGGGAAGGCAGCTGCTGTGCCCTCCTCATGGCTGTTCCCACAGGAGAATTTTTTAAATTCTCTCTCCTCCATGAACGTAGTCTTGTTCACATACAAACTTGAGGGTATGTTGGGGACCTGGAGCAGTGGAAGGGCCCAGTAGTTTCATGTTGGAGAGGGTGCATGGGGGTAGTAGTGCGTCTTCTTGCTAAGAAGCTGACGTCAACTGGAAGTGCTTTGAAGCAATGCTATGTTTATCGGAGAGGGAATTTAAATACAGGCCCACCTCTGGGCACACATGTTCCTTCCACCTTATACAGAAGCCCCTGGACACCTGGATGGACATTTTTGTGCAACTCGGGTCTTGAAGGTGTCTTAGAGAGCTGGTAGGAAGGGGCTTTGAGGTGCCAGCCATGCAGATGGTTATGGGCAGAGGGTCAAAGTCACGGGGTGCATCTGTGGCCCCAGAGTTGTCAGTTCTGCAGGAGATAATGCTGAGGGCAAGGTGGGTTTGGGTGTGCGCGTGTGCATGTATGTGCTCCAAGTGTCCCCGAAGGAGGAAGGGAAGGAACCCCTGGTGGGGTGTGAGGGGACCCTGAGCAGCTGCCCAGAGTGTAGGACCCGGATGGTGGCTCCGCCCAGGTGGGCTGCAGGGCTGAGTAAGGGACCCAAGGGTCTGGTGAGAGCACAGTGGGACACCTGGAGAATGGAAGTTGGTGCGGAGGACAGCAGTGGTGCTCTCTGAGTCCCAGTGTCCCCTCCAGGCCAAGGTCAGATAAGCCGCACAGGTGAAAGTGCGCAGGCAAAGGAGTCCTGGGGGCCCTACCCTTCTCCGCCCACCTGCAGAGGCCACCTCTGAGGGCCAGCCTGGCAATGCCAGCCCCTCGCTGAGGCCCAGGACACACTCCCTGCTGCCTGGGCCAGCCTCCTGGCCTCATAGCAGTGACCGCCCCCAGGGCAGGGGGCCTCCAAAAGGCACAGTGGGAGGAGGAATGGGAGCCTGCAGCATGTGGGGAGCTGCTAAAGGCTCCTGGATTGTGCCCCGAGGAGCCCTAGTGCGGATGGCCTCACTGTCCCTAGCAGCTCCCACTGGGTGCGGTGAGGGTCCCAGCAGAACCCGCAGTGGAGTCCGAGCGCAGTGGGCAGCCCCGGCAGGCTACCCGCCCAGGGGTGCTCTTAGACGGCCCTTCCCAGCCAGGGGACTGTCAGAAGCCTGGGGATGGCTGCAAACCCTGAGACCCCAGCCTGGGGATGGGGCAGGTCCTGGCCTCCCAGGCCCCTGTGCCCTCCCTCTGCCCTCAGCCTGGCCTCTTGCAGAGGCCCAAACCTCAGCTTCCTCCCGGCCCTCAGCGGTGCTCTCAGATGTGTCCTGGCTGGCAGCGCCACCTGGCAGTCCCTGGGCGCCACCTGGTGGTCCCTGGACACTGTGCCTCTAGCAGCATCTCCAAAATGCTGGTCTTGGGAGCGGGTAGGGCTTGTTCTGATGAGCCGAATGTCTGCAGGTCCTTCCTGTAAGCTGTTCAGGGCCCAGTTTGGGAGGGCAGTTCAATCTCGAATCAGTACCTGTTTAAGGAGAGCTTCCATGCTCTGCCTGTTATCTGGCCCAGCCTGTTTTTTGGGTTTTTTTTTTAAACAGTTCTATTCATTTGCAGCCCTTAAATCATGCAATATGTAGAGCCAGAAAAGGATTTAGGCATTTAGTCCAGATCTCTGTTTTTCACCTGTTTTGGGGTCCTATTGATCTGAGGTTTGCTGAGGGTCTCCATGCAGAGGCCCCCTGGATGGCCGTTGGGGAGGTAGGTGGCAGCAGCGCGAGCCTGGAGCTGGGGCTCCCACAGCCCAGGGCGGGGCGGCGGAGGCCCTGCTGTGGGCTGAGAAGCCACCAAGAGTCCCATCGCTCCCCCAGGCTGCACAGCTGTGAGTGCCCGACATGTCCCTGGGGCTCGGGTCTTTAGTTCTTGCTTCCTACCATCCTCCATGCACCGGCCAGCAGTGGGCAAGACCTGTGCCAAGCATTCAATAAAAAAACGAACAAACCACGGAAGCGGTTCCACCGAAGTAGGAAGAAGTGACTTGCTTATGGGGTCTGTGCTGGTGTCCCCAGCTCTCATGCTTGTCATTGGCCTCAGCCCGACACAGCCACCCCTTCCCACAGACATACACCTGCCTCCCCAGAGACATGAATATTGGGGAGACAACTAGCAGTCTCTGGGACGCTCCCTAGAGAACACACCTCAAGTCTATTTCTGGATAAATGGGTGGAAAGAAAAATACAGTACCGCTTCCAATCAAAGCAACAGAAATAGGCTATTTAGCAAATAATTCACATAATAGCTTTTCCAGCCTTTCCTTGACACTGTGCTTTGTCCTGGAATGTCTGAGACTTAGAGCAGTCAGGACAGGCCCTGATGGGTATAAAGCGGCAGAAGGGCCCACCTCACATGGGGTGTTGGGAAGACAGCTTTCCCCAGCCGAGCCTGCAGCTGCTGGGCCGAGGCCCTGCAGGCATCTGTGTGCACTGGGCAGCCAGCCCGTCCTGTCCGGGCCGTGTGGAGCCTGTGCTCCTGTGCTGCTCTCTGAGGTCACCCCCCCACCCCCCGCCCACCCTGCACAGGCCCAGCTGATCGCCCAGTCCATTGGCCAGGCCTTCAGCGTGGCCTACCAGGAGTTCCTGCGGGCTAACGGCATCAACCCCGAGGACCTGAGCCAGAAGGAGTACAGTGACGTCATCAACACCCAGGAGATGTACAACGATGACCTCATCCACTTCTCCAACTCGGAGAATTGCAAGGAGGTGAGCTGCGCCCCCGGGGGGGGGCACGGGAAGCACCCCGCTTGCCTTTGCTCTGCAAACCGAGCTGCCCCATACATCCCCCAGCTCAGCTCACAGGCACAGGACCTGGGAGCCAGCCTTCACGGGGCCCTGGCACAAACCCCTGTCCCTCAGCAGGCAGAGGCGCTGCCTAAACGTGCATCTTGCTTCTGCACTGGGAGCCGAGCACTTGTGTGTGAAATGAGCTGCTGTTGTAACAAAGAAGCTGATTACAGTCGGTCTTAATGACCTTGAAAATGTGCCTTCTAATGCTGCTATTAGCATCAGCTGGCACTCAGCACCCGAGAGATGCGTCTGGAAATCATATGGGAGACATTTTGAAGGCAGGGAACCTGGGTGCTCTGCCCAGGGGTTTTGAAGCTGCTAGCAGTAGAGGCCTTTGGAAAGTTCTCCTAAGACAGAGGAGCACGTACCCTGGGGTGGCCTAGAGCCTGGCTGCCTGTTGAATGGATGAATGAATGAATGATCCAGACTGCTTGCTTGCTTGTTGAATGAGTGAAGGATCCTGGCTTCCGGAGCCGTGCTTGGGGCGGGGGTGGGGTGATGCTGGCGTGGGCGGGGCTGGGAGGGGAGGGTCCGTGCCCGGCACCCAGGGCTGCTGGGTGAGCCCGGGAGGGCTGGGCGGCTCCTCCACCTGCCCTTTGCTTGCAGCTGCAGCTCGAGAAGCACAAGGGGGAGATCCTGGGCGTGGTGCTGGTGGAGTCGGGCTGGGGCTCCATCCTGCCCACCGTGATCCTGGCGAACATGATGAACGGCGGCCCCGCCGCCCGCTCCGGGAAGCTGAGCATCGGGGACCAGATCATGTCCATCAACGGCACCAGCCTGGTGGGGCTGCCCCTCGCCACCTGCCAGGGCATCATCAAGGTGGGGCCCGGGGCCCTGCGTGCCAGCTGAAGTCACTGAAGGCCGCGGGCTGCCCCCAGGGCGGGGTGGCACGTTTGGTTTCACGTAGCCCGGTGTTGACCACCCTGACCCCAGCTAGTGCTGAGGACCCGTAGAGGGAGGGTGACCAGCTTGTCCCGGTGTGCCCGGGACTTCCCCACTGAGAATCCATTTTCCGGGTGAACTGGGAGGATGGGTCACTCTTCACGGATCTGGGAGGCAGGTCTTAGGCAATGGACCATCTGACCCGTGAGCTTGCAGCTTTGGACCCCCTGGTGGGGGTCAGGCAGAGGGGACACCAGCAGATGGGATGGGGGCCTTTACCACTGGCCCCTGGAGGTTTGTAAGAACCCCAAAGCAGAGAGCTCAGACAGGCCACCCCGGAGGCCTCCGTGCAGCAGAGCCTTTGCTCTGGTCAGTGGCGCCCCGCCACCCCACCTCCTGGGGGCAGTTCCGTGTGCCTGTGCTCTGTCCCCAGCCCTCTGTGGTCTTGGTGCTGGGGACGCATCCCCCTCATCCCTTGTCAGCTGAGACATGAAGGACTCTGAGGCCAGAAGGCCCATGAACTGGCTCTTGGAGCTGGTCCAGCAGTGTCTGCCGAGGGGGTGACCACGTAGGCAGATAGACAGACAGACAGACAGATGTGGGAGATGCCTCAGTCTGTGACTCTAGAAGCTTGGTCTGCCTGGAGTCTCTCTCCAAGGGCTGTAGTTCTGGGCTCTGATGGGGCTGTGTGTGCGCGCGTGTAGGGCCCCTAGGTCTTCAGGCAGCTCCGAGCCTCACCCAGGGCTGCCCAGAGGAGGGGCCCGAAGCCGCAGCCGTGGTGAGGCTTGGGCCTCTCCCTGCGCCCCCCCCACTCCCGCCTTGGCCCAGGCACCTGCTGACACTCACATCCTCCCTGGGGCCCGAGGTCACCCTTGGCTCCACCTGGCCGTGTGTTGGTGTGGACACCAGAGCCCCCTGCTCACAGGTTTTCTCTGAGCTGGTCACTCCCTGTCCCCACCTCATTATTGGCATGAGTCCATCATGGGGGGCTGGGTTGTTGTGAGAAGTGTCCCTACAGTCCTTTCAAACAGGAAGTGCTCCTCCAGCATGCATGGTGAGGGCCCCACCTGGGAACTGCCCACGGTGACGGTGGTGTCAGCTGTTGGTTGTGCACAGCGTCACAGAGCCTGGCCTCTGGCTCTGGGGCAGCTGGTTTTGCCCGGGTCAGAGGGCACAGCAGGGCACGCACTGCCACCTGGGATACCCTACCCCGCATACAGGTCAGGGTGGGTGATGCCTTTATCCCTCACAGAGGGACATTGAGGCTGAGAGGCGACTGCCTCACCAGGCTCATTCCCGCCGTGCCCCCGGCCCTTCGAGGCTGTGCTCAGCTGTGGTTCCCGTTGCCATGCTCTGCAGGGGCTGAAGAACCAGACGCAGGTGAAGCTCAACATCGTCAGCTGCCCACCGGTCACCACGGTCCTCATCAAGCGGCCAGACCTCAAGTACCAGCTGGGCTTCAGCGTGCAGAACGGCATTGTGAGTCCACTCTCTGCCCCGGGCTGCCGCCGTGGTGGGGCCTGGGTACAGGGCACTGGCAGGGTATGGGGGGAGAGGACAGCTCTCCACCCCTGCCCCTGAACCGGCTCCTGTCTGAGGGCCAGGCCCACGCCCAGCACTCTGCAGCCATGGCTGTGGGCATGGCTGCCAGAGCCTGGCCGGGCAGGTAGGAGCTTCCAGCAGCTCCCGGGACCGGCCCAGGAGACAAGGAAGGGCCAGCATGTGGCCGTGGAAAGGGTCCCTCAAGGCCTGGCCTGGGCTCCCTGGTCCCTCTGCAGACACCTGCTCTGCGGCCTTTCTTTCCCAGCCACTGTAGCGTGGACACACACAGCCAGTGGCATCAGACTCATGGTGTTCAACCAATAGATACCCACTCACTTGTTCACGCATTCACTCACTGATTCATCACCCATTCACTGCCGGTGTGAGGCTCCTGCTTGGTGTCAAGCGCTGGGCCAGGCAGTGAGGAGGCAGGAGGGCTTCCAGGAGGAGGTGGTACTGGGCCTGAGTGAGTGCTGGTCTGCCTGCAAATCTGTGCCTGCTCCTCTGGCCAGTGTGAGTTTGGTTTCCTTGGTTTTGGAAGAACCTTCTAGAAAGGCAACTGCAAATGAGACAGAACTTTCCTCATTGCTGTCTTGTGCAGCAGTGTGGCTGCACAGAGCTGGCAGAGGCACAGGGCTTGGGCTCAAGGCTCCTTTTTGTCCTTTTGTGTTAGGGGATATTTGCTGCTATAACGAGTAGACCCCAAATCTCAACATGTCTACGGCAAAGATGCTTATGGCAGGAGTACCTAGAGCCTGGCCAGGGGTCACGTTGCCACGATCACGGGGGTACGGGATGTCTGCTTTTCCAGTGGGTCGAGTTGCATCATTACAAGTGCTCCAAGGCCCCTGGGCCATCTGTCTGTCAGTTCTGCGAAGCAGGAGATGAAGCCACCTACGGACAAGCTCTTCTCACAAAGCAGCGCCGTGGAGCCGGTGGCTGCGAGGCTGGTCTGCTTAGAGACCGGCATTATCTGTCACTGTTTCCTGGGGAGGTGAAGTCATTTGCCCCAAGGCTCCCAGCTGGAAGTGGCCGGACCAGGATTAGGCCTGAGGCCAGCCGTTGTGGAGAGCACGGCTGCCGCCCAGCATCAGACGTGCACGGTGTCTGGGTGTCCGTGGGCACACACAGGCATGGGTGTGGCGGCTGATGTTTGTATGTAAGACCCAGGGCAACAGAAGTGCACACGGGGCCCTGATGGCCGGCCGGCCGGCCAGTCTCCTCTCACTGAGACCCCAGGGACCACCGTGCTACCGACGACAGACAGCGTGCCACGCAGCTGAGGTCCCCTGAGTCCCCTGCAAAAGTTTGCCGGCATCTGAGTTAGTCTTGCACAAGTGCTTTTTCCATTTTCAGCTTCATTACACCGCAAGTACAATGCCTCAGTTTGCACACAGGCCCTGTGTGACCCAGTTAATGATTTTCCTAAATGGATTCCCCCTCTCTCTTCCCGCAATGCCATCCAAGAAATGAAGAAGCCTCCAGCTGGGAGGCACCAGCCTACCTCCTGAGAGGCGCATCCAGGCAAGTCAGAACACCCACGGCCTGGGTCCCGGGGGCGTGCAAGCAGCCCTTTCAGAACTTCCTGCTCCCCTGCCACCCCTCCGCCAGCTGCCCTCCTAATTCCAGCTGTGGTCGCCGGCCAGTCTGACCCATCCTCCTGGCAGCCCCCTCTTAAGGTGCAGCAAAGCCACTGTCGCCCTGTCTGCCTCCCTCTCCTCTCGTCCCTGTCGTTCCTGGAATCTCGAGGACTAGGGAGAAAGCTGCCCCTGGGGACTTCCTTCTCGGGCGTGTCCCAGCATCTGGCAGGAGCCAGCTGGACCCTGCCTGACAGTCGGCCAGGCCGGGAACTGAGCTGGGTCACCCCAAAGCACCTTCTTCGGGGTCTTCAAAGAGCTAGTTACATACATTGTGGACACACAGCCCATAAATCGCTTGATGGGGGAAAAAGGATATAAGTTACTTCTAAGGCTTGTGTAAGATACCTGGGTGTCAGGTAAGCGGGGCTTACTTGACAGAACAGGTGCTCCCCGTTTCTGAGAAATGGGTGGCCAGGGGTCAGCCCTCGCCCCCTGGCTGAGCCCAGTCTGGTCCAAGTGCCCGGCTTCTAGGACTGACCAGCCCTGCCGCAGGAGTCCAGGTGGCCAGGCAGCCGAGGCCTTGGGCTGTGACATCAGTCTGTGTCTGTGTCTCATTCCTGAAAGGGACCCCGAGGGCTGGGAGGGACCATGAGGGCTGCAGGCACCATGCCGGGATCGCACACACGCTGTCAGCTCAGCAAGGCCTGTGTGTTTTTGACAAGGAAAGACTCACAAAACAAATGACAGATGGGGCTCCTACGGTGGTGCCAGGGTCGGCCTGTGGTCAGTGGCCTTTTAAGGATGTCTCAGCCGTAAAAAGACGCCATGCCAGGTGCTGAGAGGGAGAACAGGGCGGGCAGTGGATGGTCCTATCCGTAGGTGGGAGCGTCGGCCCCCAGCACAGGGCAGTCAGACCCAGTGAAATAAACATGTCCCGCCGGGGTGGGGGTGGGTGGGAAGTGCTCTGACACAGGTGGGCATCTGAGGTGGAGGGCGGGAGGGGTCACCACAGGACAGCAAGAGAGCCTTGCCATAGAATGAAAAGAACAGCAGGTGGGAGAAGGGGCTGGCTGTCCTGCAGGCAGGCCAGCCCTTGACCTTTTATTTAGGGTGCTGACCTTCCTGACTCCAGGTTGGGGTTCCCTAGGAGGACCCCTAAAAAGTCATAAAAGCCTCAACGAGATGGCAGCAGTGTGGGTAGTTTTTGGATTGAGGAAACCCTAAGTTGAAAGCGCTGTGAATTCAAAGAGGCTTTTAGATAGCATGGGGTGGGTCCTGGCCTCGGGGGACAGGGCCCCTCCAGCCTGGGCGTCTCCCATCCTTCTCTGGGCTTGACCTTCCTCGTCCTCGAGCAGCATGGCCAGTGTGACACGAGCCTCCGGGGCTGCTGACACAATTCTGAGGAGAGGGCTCCTGGGGTCTCTCTCGGCAGTGCTCCCAGGCCGAGGTGCCAGGCTGGGGGGCAGTGGGCAAGCGGGAAGCTTCACCTGAGGACACTGCTGCTTGACTAGCCTGCCTCTGCCCTTGCCTGTCTAGGGGTTAGTAACCCCACCCTTGGACCCCATCCTTGGAGGCAGCCACGGTGGGGAGAGGCCTGGCAGCCATTCTCCCTCCCTGCCCCTCATCTCCAGGATTTCGACACCCCTCCTACCGTGGTGTTCATTCCTATGGCTTTCGTGGGGCCCCCCGGGGCCCGGCAGAGCCCCTGGGAGCTGTTGGGGTGCAGCCGGCGCAGCTTCTCTCCGTCGCCTCTGGGCCTGCCGGCCTCTCCCTCCACCTTTCTGGCGCCGTGACCTTTAGTGACCTTCACAGGCCAGTGGACTTCACAACTAGGGGCTTCCTGGTCATCTCCCCAAGGTCCTTCCATGTGTCAGCTCATAAGTCACTCCCTCGTGAGGTGGGAACAGTGACCGTCTTCATTTGAAAGTGGAGCAGAGTGTGGCTGGTGGAGAATCTTCCAGAATGTGCTTTGCCTGTGTCCCCCAGCCATCCTCACTCCCCGACACAAGAACAAAGTCTCCAGTGGCTGGGGGGCCGACAGATCTCCCACACACCACGGTGCTGACCTTTTTTATTTTTATTTTTAACATCTTCACATCATAAACTCCCGGTTCCGGAGTCAGCTGATTTCATGTGGGAGCATCTGTCACGGGGACTCCTCCTACAGGATTAGCTCCTCCCCTCCCATCTCGGGGGTGTGGCCGGGACTTGTACTGACCTGACCTTGTCTGCTTAGATCTGCAGCCTCATGCGAGGGGGCATCGCGGAGCGAGGTGGTGTCCGCGTGGGACATCGCATCATTGAGATCAACGGGCAGAGCGTGGTGGCCACAGCTCACGAGAAGATCGTGCAGGCTCTGTCCAACTCGGTCGGAGAGGTGAGACTAAGCCCCCCGCCTCCAATCCCCCCCAGCCGTCCTTTTCGTGAGGCCAACTGGAGGCTCGGGTCATCTGGGCCCATCATCTCCAGGCCGATATCTAACCCCCAGGGGCTATGAGGTGCCCAGAAACCGCTAGTCCCTGCCAGAGGAAACCCTCCCTTCTCAGGAGAGCCTGTCCTGCTGAGCCCTCGGGCACGGCTCTGCTGGTTGGCATGCTCACCCTTGACCTCTAAGCGCCACCCCTGTCCCGGGGGGCCTGGATCCCAGCTGAGCTAGCTGGGCTGTGTCTCCAGAAGGGGCGTGCCCGTGGCAAGGGTGACGAGTGGCAGGCGGCGTGTGGCTGTCCCTTTCAGGCAGCAGACAGAGGGCAAAGGGAGCAGATAAGCCTTCTGACAGTTTCTGGAACTGTGTCCCATGTGATCCCTGCCCTCTGCAGGACCCACTCTGTCAGGGCACGGGGCTCTGGCCTCTACGGGTGTGGAGTCGCCTCTGCCGGCCGTCTGCCAGCCCGCAGCAGGCGCACGGCTGCTCTGCCCTGTCCTGCCCCACTGGCTTTAACCTGCCTCCTTTTCTGGTTCTTTCTGGCATCAGCTCAGTTTCAGTGTGAGGATGGACAAGGGTTCTGAGGGGAGGGGCGCACGAGTATAACTCAGGGTGAGAAGGAAGGTGCTAGAGTGCCTGGGAGGAGGTGTGTGTGTGTGTGTGTGTGTGTGTGTGTGTGTGTGCGCTTAGGGGGCCGGCCAAGTGAACGGGTGAGGGTCTCCTGGGAGAAACATGGGTGACAGATAGTCCAGAAGGGGCAGACTGACACGTAGCTGAAGAGCTGGGTGGGCAGAGGGGACAGTTGTGAAGGGCATGGGTGCTGGGCTGCGGAGTTTCAGTTTGACTCAGGGCTGTGGGAATCGCGGGGGTTTCGAATAAGGCAGTGGCAGGCTCTGGCTGTGGGGAAGAGGTCATGGGCCCCATCTGTGCAGCCTGTGGGGGTGGGGTGGTCCCTGGGTGCCGGGTGGATGCTTTCTCCTGGGGCCACGCACGGCGTCGGCATATTCAGGATTCTGGGGATGCGGCCTAGATCCCCCTAGATGGGTGGTGGCAGATGGCTGGCTCTCAGGCGAAAAGGGGGCCAGATAGGGACCATTAGCCTCCTTTTACAAATTGGCTTCAAAGAAAGAAAAACGCAATTTTCCTAAGTAGACGCTTTCAAAGGGCTGCCCACTGGGACTCAGCCTCACACCCATGAAGAAATCGGTCAGCGGGGGAGTCACCTGGGAGCCAGGAGAAATATTTCTGACTCCTCAGGCCTGAGATGAATTGATGATATTCAGGTTCGCAGGATGGGGGTGTGAGAGTCCTTCCAGCTCCCCCACCCCAGACCTCACAGTTGACCTTAGGCTTGCTGGCTGAGGCTGGGAGATGAACATGCCTGCCTGCATTTTCCATCCTCCCTGAGCACATCAGGAAAATGCATCACTGACAAACAAGACCGCAAGAGTGTGTGAGCCTGCGGGTGGGTTTCAGAGGGAGGGATTACAGAGAATGAATCTTCTGATGGAAAAAGCCACACTGGGTGACAGAGGGGCTAAAATCTAAGGCGATCAAATAGATCCTGATGGGAGGGTGGGCAGGGAGCCTGTGTGACAATATAGCTGCCAAATTGGCCTGGCAGGGTTGTTCAGATGCGGAAGGGTGGGCCAGGGACAGTTGCACCCCTGGCCGCCTCTTGCTGGGCACCAGGAAGGTGAAGCCAGCAGAGCCCATGCCAGCCAGGAGGACAGAAGCAGAACCCGCCTTCTCTTTGCTTCCAAGGGCTGCGTATGTTCCTTTCAGAGCCCTTGCAGGATTTTGGGGTCTCCCTGTGCCTTGCCTGTGTACCCAGCCCCCTTGGAACCAGGGAGTGAGGCTGGGCCCCAAAGGCTCATTGGCCAGCTGACCCCCAAAGGATGGAGGGGCTTGAGGCCCCCTGGCCCTCTGTGAGCAAGTTCCCAGCCCCCAGAACACTTGCTTGCACCGGCTTCGTGGGAAGGGCTGTGCGTGTGCCCTTGTGCTTCTCACTGTGTCAAGCCCACGCCTTGTAGTTTCTGTGGGGCTGAGTGGGCACACCAGTAACCACAACTAAAAGGCCGGTTTTTCACCCCCGCGCCCATTGTCAGCTTGAGCTGAAGAGGAAGTAGCACTTGACCTTCTGTAAGACCATCTGCAGACCTGGACGGGGGCCCAGGTAACAGTCTGCTGCGTCAGGAGGCGCTTTCTCGCTGCGCCTCTGTCCTTGGTGATGACCATGGCGGGTCCCTCTTGATTCGCTTCAAAAGCTGGTGCTTTGCGCAGAAACCCTCAGGTGTTGTCACACACACAGCTGGCTTCAGGGTTGTTTTCAGACGGTGGTTCGCAGCGGGGAGGCAGGGGGGAGGCAGGGAGAGCTGTCAGCCCCTCTCTCTCTTGTTGACAGATCCACATGAAGACCATGCCGGCCGCCATGTTCAGGCTCCTCACGGGCCAGGAGACCCCGCTGTACATCTAGGCCCGTCCAGCCCACCTGGGCCCAGAGGAGCCGCAGGCCGGACCCAAGACCTGACCCCTGACCCCACAGCCCACCCAAGGACACTGGCTCCCTCGAGGGGGGCCCTCACCACTCACTTGTTTTTGGACATAAAGGGGGTATGTCTTTGTTGAAGGAGAGTCACAGGAACCAGTCTTTTTGTAGAAGAGTCAAGTATTTGCTGCGTCCTGAACCGTTTCCTCATTGCGACTGACGTGTTTCCTTGTACCTCTGTGTGGCGTGGTGTCTCCTCCCTGAAGCCCGGACAGTTAGCGCGGGTGCTTGGATGTGGCCGTGAAGGGAGTCAGTCCCCGAGGACGGCGGGTGCCTGGGGCAGCCGTGATGGGAGTCTGGGGCGCTGTCGGGGACACCCTGCCGGCCCCAAACGGGCGGGTTGTGCTGCTGCTTCCTCCGTGGGAGCCTGGGAAGCCCAGCACTCGGAACGTTGCCGTAACTGAAGTCTCGCAACCAGTGATTGTATTGGATGAGCAAGGAGCCGTTCCTGCATTAATTAAAGGATGGTGGCCACCCCGTGGATTTATTTAGAAAAGCCCACTGTGCTGACTTTCATTTTGACAAGCCGTTCTTCAGACTTGAGGGTTTTCAGATGACCCGTGACCACACCTGCCGCCCCGTCCTCACCTGTCCTCTGGTCTCTGTGGACCTGGCTGGGCACCGTCCTCCAGGTGGGGCAAGCTCTCTCCTCCCCCCAGGGTCAAGGACAACCGCCTGGGCGCCAGCCCTCTATTTACAACCCCTGCCTACACACACGCTCCCCCCAAACACTCAAGGCCCACTGGAACACGCGACCTCTGCCATTCCCGGGGCAGCCCGCGGTGAGCGGGGCTTCCTGGGCAAGCCAGGCGCCAGCACCGCGAGCAGCGTCAGTGTGTGCCGATCACGTACTACGTAGCCTAGTTCCGTCCCTTAGAGATCCATGTGAGCTGACGTCATTCTGTCTGCAGTCTCTGTTTTTGGCCCCGGCCGTGAAGAATACACTGTGACTTAAGAAGCCTTACCATGCAGTAACTAAAGCTAGGATTACTGTATTCAAGGAGTGACCTGTGTGTTGCATGCAGCCGACCTTAGGAAGACTCGCTAATGTCACTAATAAACCTGACGTCATGATGAAAAGCTGCGCGTGTGGCTGGTTTGTGAACGGGAGGGGCGGGGGCTGACTTTTCCCTCGCTTCTACACTTTACACCGGACTCTTCGAGGAGGCAGTGTGGGGATCGTGGTGCCTGGTAGAGTCCCTTCTGGGTCAGGAGCTTCAGGGGTTCTCTCCAATGAAGTTGGACCAGCCGGGCCCTGCAGTGGCTGGAGGGTCAGCAGTGGTGACACGTCACCAGGCCTCCCCTGAGTTCTCCACCCACCATCCCAGCTGGAGACAGGCTGCTGACTGAATAAGGGAGACAGGGAGCCTTGGGCTCCTCCTGGTTTACATTTAAATTAGCGTGTGTGTGTGTGTGTGTGTGTAAGTGGAAAGCTGGACCACTTTCCCTAGCATGGTCTCCTTACCAGTAGGGTCCTTTGCAGCTTGTCTTGAATAATAGCAGGACTTGACAGCACGGCCACCACTCACCTTTTTTCTGTGGCCACTGTCCTGGTGTCACCTGGTGTAGGGAGCTAGGAGTGAACGTGGGCTTTGGTCAGAAGGCCTGGCGGTGTGTCCTAGCGTGGTAGTCTGGGGACTTTGGACAAGTAAGACCCATCTCTGACCCATCCCCAAGCAATCCGAGCCCCTGCTGTGAGCTAGTGACACGGTGCTTCACGGCTAGCCAGGGATGGCCCACACCCAGGAATGTCACATGCACGGAAGCTGGAGGGAAGGGTCCTCAGCTCAGGAGTACCAAGGGGTATGTCCCAGGAATGCCCAAGACGGGGCTGGAGAACGGGCTCCAGAGAGCAAATCTATGGCTAACAAATGACATGGGTGGTGGTGGGTGCGGGAAGGCTCCCACTGAATGATACACATTAAAAAAAATCCCAGTTAAAGAGAACTTTGCGCCAGGGGCCTACTTTCAAACTAGAAGCCTCAGCTGGGCCGGCACTGGTGGGACCTGCCCGCGTCCGGCGCCTGCCCTCTCCCCCTCACCCTCCAGGACCTGACCTCCAGAACGGTATTGGGGAGCCCCGTTGGGTGGCCATGGGTGCCTCACGCTGCCGGGCCGGCGGCCTCGGGCCCAGCCTGAGCCCTCCCTTGGATCCTGGCCACCAGCGTACAAGCTATTGCTGTCATTGTCCCAATTAGACCTCGGGGACACAGAGGCCAGAAATAGTTTTTATTAAAACACTGCTCGTTATGAAAACACCTTGAGGTACATTAAATAAATACAACCTTCAAGTGGTACAAACAGGTCTCCTGTGGCTTGAAAACAATTTCCTGGAAATTCTGCCTTAATAGGAGCATCTGTGAATCAGTACAGCTGAGGGGCAAAACAAAACATCCATCTGAAATCAGCTGTTACGTGGTTGGTTACAGTCATTTGATTTGCATCATTGTCACCAGCTGCAGGAGACTTGTGTCACTTGAAAGATGAGTGTCTCCCCCCACCCCCCACCCAGTTTGACAAAGAGTTGGGGTCCAGAGCTCGCCCACCTCAGCATGCTCCTGGTCTCCAGGCTGGGGTCAAATGGCAGCGTCCACATAGCTCTGGCCCACGTTAGGCCGGCCCCCTTTGGGTCATGGGGAAAGGACAGGGAAAGCACCCGGGGCCCAGGCCTGTGCAGGTGGGGGTCCCTATAGGTGGGGGTCCCGCTGTGATCTGCCCAGGGGAAACAGAGCCAAGCTAGGGGGAAGGGGTCCCATTTCAGATACTTAAAGGAGCGGCTTCAGAGGCTCCCGGTGGGCGGGGAGGAGGGTGGTGAGGGTGCACCTGTGAGGGGGAGAGAACCCGCCGTGCACTTGGCCTGGCGGCGCTCCCATGTGGTCTCGGGCTCAGGGTGCTTGCTGCTGGGACTCCTGGTTCCCGGATGCCACTGAGGAGAGCAGGGCTGAGGGTACCAGAGCTGGCGCATGGAGTCCCTGGCCCATTCCCAGTGGCTCTAACCACCACCCCTCTTTTCCCAGAAGCCTGGGGCCTGCTAGAGCCCACGTGAGCCACCAGGGGGCCCTGAGCTGGTGGGCAGAAGGTTCTAGCCCAGCTGTATAAAATTGGGTACAGTTTCCTCGTCCGCAAGATGGAGTTGCCACGAGAGCAAATACAACGCTGTGCTTGAGAGGGTGTGGGCAGAGCACAGTGCTTGAGAAGGTCGGC